AAAAAGACAAAAGCCTATCTCACAGCCATAAATACTGCCCTCCCAAGCCAACTACACCAGAGCACAGAGTGCTGTCCTCTGAAGATGCCGGCCACAGAGACTGGCAAAACATTAGGAAAAACAACCTTCAGAACACGGCCAAAGAGCCCGAAAAACCCACAACAACCATTAGATCCCAGCCATGAAAGCCTTCGCGAATACATTTTCTATTTTATGTTTTTTTATTACATTTCTTCCATGTCTCTATCAAAACCCCAATGTTTTTGTCAGCAATGCAATGCTACGTCTCTCTTTCTGGCCCTGCCACCTTTCTTCCAACCTTGCTGGTTTTCTCAAGAGTAAGAGGGCATGCCAGCATTTTTTCAGCTTGCAGATTTGTGTTACATGGCCTATGTGTTTTGGACTTAAAACTGCCCAAAGTTTTCGCTTGCACAACCAGTGGCAAAGGATGGTAAGAATTAGGGTTCCCAGCAGCAATGGTTCCCTAGCACTCTCATAGGAATTTGCAAACCGGTCAGAATGGGAGGTAGGCAGAAGACGTTTATCGGGGGCTTTGACCCATACAGCAGCCACACGCACGGAAGCAGCCCCGTTGTTGCGGAGAGCTGTGTTTAGGGGAGGGACATGAAGTCAGTGGCACAGCACACACCTTTCAGACTGAAAGGTGTGAGTTCATTTGGGAGCACCTCAAACCAGACAGGAGGCAGGTGTTTTGAAAGATCCCTGTTGGACACCATGGGGAGCCACTGCCAGTTGACATGCTGGCTTAATTGCACACTGCCTCAACCCAAGAGAAAGCAACTCAATTTCCAAGGCACAGTTTGGAAGCATCGTGTTTCACGAACAATGTTACTAAATGGGGCCTAATGGCTCATGGGTTAATGTTAATAAGTGAATGAACATTTCAATGTGAATATAACACGGAACATATCCTTAATTGTTCTAGACATTGGTTGGGATCCCCTTTCAACACTTTAAAGAAACAGGGAAAGGATCCACCTCTGTTCTGTGCCCTGTCATGGCAGCACGATCTTCTCCAGATCCTGCCTGGCCTAAAAAAACACCAGTATATTTTCCACCCTGATGCGCTATCAGGAACATAAACACAACCCTACTGAAGAACAATGTAGCTGGCTTTTCCCTCTTCTTGTGTATTGACCTATTAGCTTCTTAACCCACCAAATTAGGTAAAGGTAAAGGTTCCCCTTGACAATTTTTGTCCAGTCGTGTTTGACTCTAGGGCGGGGTGCTCATCCCCGTTTCCAAGCCATAGAGCCAGCGTTTGTCCGAAGACAATCTTCCGTGGTCACATGGCCAGTGCGACTTAGACACGGAACGCTGTTACCTTCCCACTGAGGTGGTCCCTATTAATCTACTCGCTTTGGCATGCTTTCGAACCGCTAGGTTGGCGGGAGCTGGGACAAGCGACGGCTGCTCACTCCGTCGTGTGGATTCGATCTTACGACTGCTTGTCTTCTGACCCTGCAGCACAGGCTTCTGCGGTTTAGCCCGCAGCGCCACCACATCCCAGGCAATCCACCAAATTACCCAGGCTTTAATCCCGTACCATTTTCCTTTATCAAGTCTTCCCCCAGTAAGGTAGTCCATAACATTCTGTGGCTTTGTGACATTCCCAGTTCTCACTGAGCTGTTTGAGGAGATGTTCTTTTCTTCTTTCTTCAAATTCAACTTCTGCAAAGAAGTGAGGGGCCACATGAGCATCACCAAATAAAAAGGCCATTGGTGGGAAATGGTAATAGCTAAAAAAAAATCTTGAAATAAATGGAATGTGCTGATTTATACCTAGAGCTGCAAAAGTGGAAATAATTTTTTTTGTGTGTGTGTGGTTAAAACATAATACAAGGACAGCCCAGCCAAAGGGGGATGATAGCAACCAGGCAACCTGTGTACCTGCTGAACTTGCCATCCAGATGACCAACACTAGGGATGGGTATCTTGAAAGCCTCTGATCTTCCGATAGTCCTTTACCTTTAAATGAACTTGAAGCCTTTCCACTACAGCCCTGTGTTCTATAAAAGAGGACACATTGCCCACCCAGTCTCCAAATTATGGGGTCCCATTAAACCAGCCAACATCTTCTAGCGCATAGATGGTCTTGTTTGTTTGTTTGTTTAGTTGCCATCTTTGTAGGCAGAGTTTGCTTCTAGTCATGAGGAAAACGAGCGCCCCCTATTTTGTAATCCATGCATCCCACAGCCCAAACTAATGGAAGGAGGAATCACAGTTCTGCTGTTTCCTGTATTCAGTACCCCCATCTTCCCTCTCCTAAAATCCATCTTCTCATTTCAGTACCAACGCCCAAAGGGTAGTGAGTAGATGAAGCATATCAAGTTTAAACGAAGACCCTCTTTGGATGGCCTGCAAGGTTTTCGACACACAAAATTACCAAGCCATCTATTTATTGTAAGGCTATAACAGGGCACATCAAAGGAGGGAGTGGAAATGGAGGATATTACAGAGAGAGAAAAATAAATAAACCTCCAACTGTTCGTTGATGAAGTGAGAGCATATTGAACTAAGCCTCAGCGTAAAGTTTATTAAAGGTCACACTAATGAATGCCTTAATTCTAGAATTATAAATTAACTCATGTGGTTTTTGCTTTGTGAACAACTGTGCTTTTCTGGATCTAACCACCCCTGTAATGCATGTGGATACAGACAGACATATGTAGAGAAAATGTGATGAGGAAATATTACTACAGCACCACCTGCTGAATAATGACATTAATTGCACATTAGGACCACTAAGGATCAGATTGTGTTTTGTTGTTGTTTTGTACAGACACACTGAAAACAGAGGACTTAGTATATACAGTTTGTACACAATGGCCTGTGTGAAGAATTCACATGGATTTGTCTTGCTGTTGATCCATGCATTTGGAAGTTATAGTGCAGTGTTTGAAATCTGGTGTATTTTAAGTGAAATGGTAAACACACACACGTTAAGAAACCTTGCACACTTCACCCATTCTCCGCAGCTCACATGTGTTGTTTCAGTAATCTTTACACCGAGCCACTGTCAAACCTATCTCAGACACAAGGAAGAAAAAGCAGAGAAAACAGAAGCTTGCTTAAAGCAACCCAGTCAATTTGTGGTCGGAAGGGGATTTGAAGCTTTGGTTTCCTAACTCAACTCAAAGCCAGCCCTACAATTTTGCACTGAAGCAATAATCTCATGTAATAGATGCTTGATAGGAAAGGGAGCAACTTCTTCTGCTGAGTCCCTACCCCTGCCATTCTCCTCTTGGGGAAAACAAAGCTATCTGTGCCCCATATACAACCGAAAATAAGGCAACTCAATTTCAGTTGAGTTTGGAAGCATAAGAGGGTCAGTTCAACCACCAATCTGCTCAGCTTCTGGTACAGGAGGGTTGCCCTCTTATCATTTCCTCCATACTACACAATACATTGGGTCAGCCTTACCACTCAGGTGCAAGACGACCCATTTTTGGTGTGGGGTTCTAAACCCGTCCCTATTTCATATATTTCACAATGCATCTATATACCCTGATAGACTAATAGAAATTACCACCTTTTCAGCTTGCAAAACAAAATGTGACAGGTATAGACAGGTATTTCACTGAATTTAAACCAACATTTCAACACAACAGATCAACACAAACTGCTATACAGGGGTATTTGCTAGGTTGCTTTTTTCGGTAAGACATCCACCAAAATAGAGAGGTGAGGGAGAGAGAGAGAGAGAGAGGAAGAAAGTGAAAGAAAACAAGACATCAAACAACAGTCCTCTATTGTCGATTTAGAATTATGATTAGCGCCGGCTTTTGGAAGCAGTAATTCTATCTGAAATTTTGGACTGCAGTGGCAAAAAGGAAATGTGACTGCCGGAGAGAGTAGATCAATATCTGGAGGAGATAAAAGGCAACAGAGAAATTGGCTGATAACTATTCAGATCTCGTGCAGTCCCACCTTCCTGAAAGGGTAATTAAAGCCAAATTCTAATTAACATGTACTTTGCCCCCAATCAGAAGCATCCTTTACAGAAAAACTAATGAGGCTGGGAAAATGGGCTCTTCCTTGTGGATCTGTCTCAGTAAAATGAAAGCATCTCTTTTAATAAGTTGTGCTGTTTTAGAGAAACAAAAAGCTCTCTAAATTGTGAGGTGCAAAAGACTGCAGGCGCCTTATCTGGCGACAGTGAGATTTTGATGTGACCTCCTGATGGAGCCGAACGACAAATGACATATGATTCACTAACCTGTTGTGTTTAAACTCCAGCAGCTGCTTCAGGCTTGGAGAAGATACATGGTGGAAGGGCCAGGGATTGTGGGAAGGTAGTTTTCAGCAGAGAAGGTATCTAATGTATCCCCTGCTGGCTGCACTTCCACTATAATCCAAATCCAAGATGAGGAGTGGATGTTTGCTAGGAGCTGCTGATGGTTTCATCCAATTCTAAGTAGTAGCTGAGAGATCGCCCAGTGTTCTTTGGGACTTGAACCTTGGATCAACCAAGTCCCAATCCAGCACTCTAACCAAGGTGGTTTATGACACTTTTTCCTAATGTTTGAGGTTTGGGAGAAAGCAAGCTACCTTAGATGGTACCAGGCCATTGATCCATTACTGTCCACTCCAAGTGGCTTCAGGTCTTCAAAATTATTTCCTACCCCCACCTCGAGGTAGTCTCCTATCCTCATAGTGACTGGGTTTGTCCCTGCTTAGCTTCCGGTTTCAAACGAGATTGGGGTGCTCTGAATGAAGGGGAGGGTGTTCCCTGCTAGCCCCTGGTAGGTCATAAGTTAGCCAGTGCAGCACACCGTGTATGCAGATGGTGGGCAAGAAAGAAGAAGAGGGTTCACAGTGAAGTCTATCGTGGTTTGGTCAAAGTGTGTTCTTGCTGCCACCGGCTGAATGAGGGACCCAGGCATTCAGATTTCATTGTAATTTTGGGTGTTCCTTGGAACAAGATTGCTAGCATTTCATTTCCCCCAATATTCACCAAGTTCTCTCTTTGTTTGCAGATGGACAGGAGTGAGTTCCAACAGGATTCAGTTCTGAAGCAGCTGGAGGTGCTCAAAGAGGAAGAGAAGGAGTTCCAGAATTTGAAGGTAATTGATTGCAGGATACAACTTTACCCTGAAAAAGGTTAAGGTGCCAACCTACCGATCCCAAAATCAAAAGTTACCATGGACATTGTTGGAGGTAAAACTTCATCCCCTCAGGCCCACTGCTGATGAATGGGATGAAACAGTACCATGTTCCCCCGAAAATAAGACAGGGTCTTATATTAATTTTTGCTCCAAAAATGCATTAGGGCTTATTTTCAGGAGATGTTTTATTTTACAGTCATGTCATCTGGGTGCTGCACAAGGGTGGAGGGTGGAGTTTCACTCAACTGGGGCTTATTTTTGGGGGCAGGGCTTATATTATGAGCATCCTGAAAACCATACTAGGGCTTATTTTCAGGTTAGGTCTTATTTTCGGGGAAACAGGATACTATTCATGCTTTTGAAGAAATACATGTGGTCTGAGATAAAAGCAGAGGACGGCAGCATTGGATGCAATGTTCTGAAAGGGGATTCCAGACTCGTTCACTATAAGCCAACGGACACTTATATTCATGTTGCCTGCCAGACTATAATATTGAAGCAAGAAAGAGAAATAATTCAATTAAAAGGCCTATTTCTACTTGGAATCGTTATTCTCCCTTGGCAAATTCAAAGCCACACAGTGCAGCTTGACATCATTATTTATAATAAAGCAGGAAAGTTTGATCATGAAGCGAAAAACTCTCAAAGACGTGCAGTTATTTACTCTTACAAAAGACACCCCCTACATATCAAATATAATACAGAAGTAGAATTGTATAACTGCAAGGTGGAATTTTATTTTACATTCCATTTTTTTCTCCAGCTGAAGGCCATGAAGTGGACTGTTATAAATCATACGTAGTGTTTTCAAGTGACAGTCTGGAACTTTTAAAGGATAATTTGCACAGAAAGGACATTTATCTCTTTCCTATTTTACTTCAATCTATTTGTTTTCCCAGTATATTACCAATTTCTGATTTCAATTACAAGAGGTGTGTTCACTCCCAGTTGCTCTGCATCATGGAGCCTGCAGTTTTAGACTCCCTGTCTCTCATGTACGATATTACGGGAGGACGGGGTACTCTCTCATCTTGAGGAGGCCACAAAAACAACATGACACGACCTGTCTGAACGATCAGGAGATCAAACTAAGACGACAACCAGCCTTTGGATTTAAATTCTGTATACAATTTCAGGATGCTGTGTTTAGATAGCCCCTGGTTTCGGCCACTCTAAGTGAGATGCAGCCATCATCATATCCAAACAGCTCTGTATTAATTCATAGCAGAAAACAATACATTGGTAGCAATGGAGACCAATGACTCTGATTTTATGTGGGTGATCAATCTGCTTTGGGTTTTAGTTAGAATTTTACAGGAGTCAGGGACGTGGTGGCGCTGTCGGCTAAACCGCTTTACAGGAGTCAGGGTGGTGGCGCTGTTATGGAATGTTATGGAATGTTATGGACTACCTTACTGGGGGAAGACTTGATAAAGGAAAATGGTACAGGATTAAAGCCTGGGTAATTTGGTGGGTTGCCTGGGACGTGGTGGCGCTGCGGGCTAAACCGCAGAAGCCTGTGCTGCAGGGTCAGAAGACAAGCAGTCGTAAGATCGAATCCACGTGACGGAGTGAGCAGCCGTCGCTTGTCCCAGCTCCCGCCAACCTAGCGGTTCGAAAGCATGCCAAAGCGAGTAGATTAATAGGGACCACCTCGGTGGGAAGGTAACAGCGTTCCGTGTCTAAGTCGCACTGGCCATGTGACCACGGAACATTGTCTTCGGACAAAAACACTGGCTCTATGGCTTGGAAACGGAGATGAGCACCACGCCCTAGAGTCAAACACGACTGGACAAAAATTGTCAAGGGGAACCTTTACCTTTACCTTACAGGAGTCATCCCAGTTCCTGAACCCTATGGCTAAAAGAGGACACAGAACCCTCTCTGTCGAAGCACCCAAAGTCAGTCTCACCTCATGTTGACTACTCACTGTAAAAACAAAACCATCATTTGTAAAACTCCCCCTTTGTTTCCAGGAGAAATTGAACAGTTCCATGTATGTTGAGGATTTTGATGGCCTAAATCCAGTGTTAAACTAAAGCCAGTGAAATGAATCGCTTCAGATCACTTCTGTTTGTTTCAGTGAGCCCACTCCAGTTGGGATCTGGATTAAATTATCCCCCAGACAGCGCTGCAGGTTAAATCGCAGAAGCCTCTGTGCTGCAAGGTCAGAAGACCTGCAGTCATAAGATCGAATCCACACAACAGAGTGAGCCCCCGTCACTTGTCCCAGCTCCCGCCAACCTACCAGTTTGAAAGCATGCAAAAATGCAAAAATGAGAGTAGATAAATAGGTACCACCTCGGTGGGAAGGTAAATGGCGTTCTGTGTCTAGTCACGCTGGCCACGTAGGCTTGTCTGTGGACAAATGCTAACTCTATGGGTTGGAAATGGAGATGAGCACCACCACCTAGAGTCAGACACAACTGAACAAAATTGTCAAGGGGAACCTTTACCTTAAACAGAATGAGCATGCCCTGCTCAAGGATTAATCATTTATGCTTTTCTTCCAGGATCCCACAAATGGATATTACAGTGTCAACACCTTCAAGGACCACCACTCCACGCCCACCATCTCTCTTTCAGGTTGCCAGCCTGAGATGAGACCGGCCAACAAACAGCGCGTGCCTACAGGCATGTCCTTCACCAACATCTACACAACGCTTAGTGGGCAGAACCGCCTCTACGACTACAGCCAGCGCTTTGTCTTGGGCATGGGGAGCAGTTCCATCGAGCTCTGCGAGCGGGAATTCCAGCGGGGCTCCATGAGCGACAGCAGCTCCTTCCTGGACACCCAGTGCGACAGCAGCGTCAGCAGCAGCGGCAAGCAAGACGGTTACGTACAGTTCGACAAGGCCAGCAAGGCCTCGGCCTCTTCTTCCCACCACTCCCAGTCCTCCTCACAAAACTCAGATCCTAGCCGACCCCTCCAGAGGAGAATGCAGACCCATGTGTGAGAAGGGACCTGAGGAGATGGGAAATGGAGGAGGCCAGGGGGTGGGGGAAGGAAGAGAAAGCAGGACAGGACAAACCAACCACTGGAGGTGGCCTGAAGCAAGGTTCTGCCACCAGTGAGGGACCCGGCTGGACATCCACACCTTCTGGGCAGCGGGGAAGCTGTTCCGTAGTTTTATTTGCACTCGGGTAGCTTTTAATTCCAGAAAGCATTTCTCCCTCCTTCTCTAGAGTGAAGACTTCATGGGCGAAGGGAGTCTAAATGAGCCTGCAGATAAAACAGTCCAAGCCAAGAGACGTGCATCTTTCTTCCCAGGACCTGTTGACCCCCATTAAGCAGGTGGAGAGAACCTTCGGCAGCTGAACCCAAACTAATTTTAAGCACAACGTCTGTTTACTTTCGTAGCAGACCAGGCATAGGGAAATGGGAACAAAGGAAAGCAAAAGACAACACGCAACTTACTTAGACTGAGACAAAACCCACAAGCTCAGTTTTCCATCTATCTCATACCTGCCTCTTGTTTCAGAGATCAGCCAGACTTACAAACTCAACCCCACAACAGTACAAACACCCACAGTCTTTATTGGGACACTAAGGGGATCTGGTTCCTCCCTCTTTCATTCTGAATAAAGTGAGCCACTTGGCCACATGATGTTTTGAGAGGGGACATGGTCTTCCCATAGATCAGTCATTTTGTATTTTCCAGTTCCTGTGCCCCACAACTCTAGGTGGTGGTAAGCGCTAAACATGCTAACTTTCTTCTTCAGATTCCTGTCAACCCCTCTGGCGGTAGTTGCTTCATGGAGACCAGATCATGCTCTTAGTGGCTTCTCTCCTTCCTCTCCCATTGTGACAACGCTTCCTGACTGTGGACCTTTTGGAAATGGTGCGCCTTCGAAGCTGTTAGGTTCACCAGCCAACTCCCCTTCCCGATGCTTAGCGCTATTTGCAAAACTGTAATCCCAAAATGTGTTCTTCGAGCAACCTCAAAGAGTGTGCTTAATTTAAAGAGATTCAAAAGGAGGGTGGGGCGGGAAACAGCCATTGGTGTAACTTAATGTGCACTGACTCCTGATTCTGGTCTTTTCTTTTTCATTTTCTTTCTTTTTTAAAAAATTAACGTACCTTTTTAAATTTCTGTTGGATGTTTCGTGTTCATAATATTACAGTCTGTCTTTGGAGGAGGAAAAAAAAACCCAATTGGAGTTGAGCACTTTTAAAGAGTCTCTTCTCGACGGAACATACACAGACGGACGCATACATACACGCACAACGAACCTATTCCGTTGGTCTTGGTGGCAAAGGAAAGATCAGTCAATGGAAGGCTCAGCTATGGGACAATCGCAGATCAGGCTCCCCTGAAGGATGTGACATGGAGCAGAGGGTGTCTTCTTATTGCTGCTCATGCATTTTCTGCTCTTACCTCACTCACACACCCCTGCCATCGATAGCACAATTAGAAGATTAATGCAAGAGCGGTTACAAGCCCTGTTGCCATGAGTTCATTTGGAAGCTTGCCAAACCAAAAAAATAAATAAAAGGTGTCAATCCCAAGACAGAAATTACACAACACATTTAGAGCAGAGGAGGTGTCTGGAATGTGGCTTTCTGTGCTGTCGGTTCAGTGTGTAGTGTTAGACAAAAACAAAGCACTCCAGGAAAATGCCCAGAGGTCACCCAGAGGGTAGCTAGCTTCTACACAGTTGCCCTTGGCTGCCATCGGCTGTATTGTCGGTCGAGTGCTCACAAGGGGCTTAAAAATGTAGACCATGAGTGGAGAATGTATGTCTCTCTCCCATCTCCTCTAGCCAGCATAGGAACCATCAAGGATGCTAAGAACTGAGAACAACTGGACAGCCACATGCTCCCCATCCCTGATGTAGATGATTGTACTGGCCTGGTGTACATTTGCTGTATCTTTTCTCCTTGCCGTTGGCCAAGGGTTCTAAACTTTTGATTTATTTCTTGCACTAGCAAAGAAAGTAAAAAAATAAAGAAGAGCCTTGTGGCACCCTGGGCTCTCCCTTCTTTTGGTCTTTTCTCCGTAAACCAACTAGCGTCACGGTGGACACAGTAGAAGCCTTGAAAGAGAAGACTGCCTGCGCAGAAAGTGAGGCATGGTCACTATGGCCTGGGTTCTATGACAGATGTGTCCATATGGAGTTTATCGGTCTGTTGCGGAGGGGGGGAAACACACATCAAGGTGGAATCTAGTGACATCTTGAAGACTTGGGAGTCTTACTTAGCATCAGCTTGGGTAGACTTTACCCCCACTTACTCAGATGCATGGAGGGTAGTCTTGGTGGGCAGGTCAACATACACAGGCAGGATGCAGGCGGGGCAGAGGACATAACATTCTTAGAAATGCAAGTGATCCCAGCAAGGTGGCAACCGTAACTAGTCTTTAAGGTGCCACCAAAACCCTTTGTGAGACTTTGCAATATACTCAGGTGGCTTCCTCCCCTGCTCCAAAATTTCAGCAAAGGAAGTGTGTATCCAAATCTTAGGAACTGTACCAACAAACAAGACACTACAGAACAGGAGAATGACAACAAACGGTGCTTCAAGACACAGGTTCTGCATATTGGCAGAATTGTTCATAAGATGGGGCAGTTCCTATGCACCCCAAGTGGACTGACTGAAGAAGTCCAAGCTGCTCTGGTGGTCCAACAAAGACAGGGGAGGTCAAGAAGTCCTCATCCATGTCCCAGCTTGTTTGGAGAAGAGTTGAGGGAAGGAGCGCCCTACTTCAGCCAATTTATCATAGATCGGTCTTAGGGAGCATCCAGTAATTGGCATTTTCCCTGTTACTCAATATACTGTCCTGTGGCTTGCATGAGTACTTGAAACACTCTCATACAGTAGATCTCAGCAAGAAATCTATGCTGGCCTGTAAAGCTTGTCTGGATGCTATACTCTTCCTTCTTTTGAAGGTAGCTGGTGGAAAGCAATCACCCTACCACATTCACATTTCTAACCAACTAACCAATGGAGAGGTGTGCTGGGAGTTGTGTTCCAAGAAACGTCTCAAAGCCACACTTTGCCCACCCGTGTCTCAAACCTCAAAGCAGCCTGGTCTTCCCAAAGAGGCCACAGACTGCATTGAGAAGCTTTTGATCTCAAAGGCGTTGGTACCGTATGCAGGACACTAGAATGTGGCTCACTCCCACTGAGATAGACATCACTCCAATAGGTTTTCATAAAAGGATGGGGAGGAATCTAGGTTAAATCGTAGGAATAGTACTGTATCTAAACAGGTCATTTGCACAATTAGAAGTAAAATGGCTAACCTTCACAGCCCAGGGCCTCAGGTCAAGAACGGATTTTTCTTAAGTGCTTCATCAATAGAAGATTCTTGCATTCCACAAGGAAAGTATATGTATATACAGTATAAGGAGCAGCTTTACCAGTTACACACACACACACAGAGAGAGAGAGATAAGTATATGCATATATATATATATGAGAGAGAGAGAGAGAGAGAGAGAGAGAGAGAGAGAGAGAGACAGAATGGCTGAGGAGGGATTCAAACTTAGGTCTCCAGAGTCTGCAGCCTTTACTCTTTCCACTACACCACACTGGGCATCTATGATGTCTTGTGTTCAGTTTGTTCAGTTCCCCTAAAAGGTAAGATAATAGTAAGTATATGCATATATATATATATGAGAGAGAGAGAGAGAGAGAGAGAGAGAGAGAGAGAGAGAGACAGAATGGCTGAGGAGGGATTCAAACTTAGGTCTCCAGAGTCTGCAGCCTTTACTCTTTCCACTACACCACACTGGGCATCTATGATGTCTTGTGTTCAGTTTGTTCAGTTCCCCTAAAAGGTAAGATAATAGCAAGGGGTGGATCCCATGAGGTACTAGTCCCTCTCTATTTCGCACCAATTAGGCCTCATCTAGAGCACTGGTTCTTAACCTTGGGTTACTCAGGAGTTTTGGACTGCAACTCCCAGAAGCCTTCACCACCAGCTGTCCTGACTGGGGTTTCTGGGAGTTGCAGTTCAAAAGCATCCGAGTAACAAAGGTTAAAAACCACTGATCTAGAGTACTATGTCCAATTCTGGACACCACACTTTAAGAAGGATGACAACAAACTGGAACAAGATACAAGATGGTAGATACCTGGCTCAGCAATGCTATGAGCGAACAAGATGGTAGATACCAGGCTCAGCAATGCTATGAGCCAGAAGGATCTTGGATTGTCACATATCACAAGCTGAATATGAACCAACAGTATGAGATTGTCATATATCACAAGCGGAATATGAACCAACAGTGTGATGTGGCTACAAAAAAAAAAGGCAAATGCTATTTTAGGCTGCATTAATAGAAGTATAGTCTTCACATCCTGTGAGGTACTAGTTCTTCTTTATTTGGCACCAGCTAGGCCTCATGTAGAGTACTATCTCCAGTTCTGGACACGTTAGGTTCAAAGGATGCTGCTCTTATAAGTCCGGTTCTGGACACCAAACTTCAAAAAGGATGCTGACAAATTGGAATAAACTCAGAAGAGGGCGACAAAGATGATTAGGGGTATGGAAACCAAGCCCTATGAGGAAACACTGAAAGAACTGGTCATCTTTAGCCTTGAAAAAAGAAGACTGAGGGGAGATAGGACAGCACTTTTCAAATACTTGAAAGATACAGAGGAGGGGCAGGATCTGTTCTTGATCATTCCAGAGGGCAGGACACATAAAAAAGGGCTCAAGCTACAGAAAGCCATATATAGGCTGAATATCAGGAAAAACCTCCTATTAGAGCAGGACGACAATGGCACTCATGACCTCGGGAGGTGGTGAGTGCTTCCAATGCTGGAAGCATTCAAGAGAATTGGACAAGAATCTGTCAGATCTGCTTTGATTTGGGTTGAAATCGATGGCCTTATCGGCCCCTTCCAACTCAATTATTTGGCGATTCTATGGGAAAGAAACCGTTCAAAATCTGGTGGGGTATTGTGGCCATCTCATGTCGCTCATAGCTGCAAGGTGGAGATTACAAGCTGAAGAGATGGTGTGTTAAAGTACCTATTTCCACCTTGCTTGGATATCCAGTTAATGCACCAACGAGAGGTCTGGCTGAGACTCCGAACACTGCTCGTTCTGTTTTTTTTTTTATGCTCACAGACAAGACGCTGCTGCCTAGAGCCAAGATAGCAAACAGAAAAGTGGCAGTCTATATCAGTAAAAGATTGAGATCAACTTGAGGTGACATGTTAGGTACCACTGTCGTTGTTGTTCTTGTAAAAGAGGGGGTAAAAAAAATTGTGGATATGCTTTGATGATCTGTATCTTCTAAAAACATGTGCTCTTGCTGCCACCTACTGGCCATATGTTAGCATTCCAACTTGTAAATCTAGAGAGCTTTCCAAATGCCCTCGGGTTCAGAACAGGACGGAGCCCCCTCCCTCTTCAGCCTCACACATAATTCATGAACCTTGATTAATATGCAAGTATTTGGCAGCAGATCACCCCTTGTGAGCAGTTAATGATTTGTTCAGAGACCCAGCTGCCTGCCAGCATTTTTTTTAATTTTACTTCTTCTTTTTTTTTTAAGTTTACTATCTATGGCAGGAGCTTCTTCGACCATCTGTTCATTAATATGTAACAAGCAACAGTGATGAGCAATTAAACTGGCTGCAAATTAACCAATTTGCTTGGGGAGCAGGCTTTTGAGCACTTGTTTGTTTCATTAAACCTTAAATTCGTCAGGAATCCAGAGGAATGCAAAAACTGCGTCACGGCCATAGACTGATTGCAAGTCCCAGCTCAGAAAGAAGAGGAGATTTGTGGGTTATTAAGCAAGAAACATTCTAGCCCAGATTTGCAAATCAAGCTTTCAAGCGTGTGCTCGTGTGATGTCCACAGGCAACACAATCATTACAGAAGAGTTGGGTTGCGTGGAATCAAAATCGGCCCTACCATTGGGCGAAGTGGGATGGCCGCCTCAGGCAGCAAATTCTGGGATGCGATAGCAAGCTTTTTAGATAACGGTGCTGTATGTTGTGTGTCCCGTTCTTCAACCTTGAAGCCAGGGGCGGGCATCAGCCAAAGCTCCGGGGGGGGGCACACACACCCATCCCAAGACCTTGGCAGGCTTGCTTGGAAGCAAGCATTGCTTATCCATTGACCATTTATAACCAGTTCTTTCAAGGAGCTTAATGGGACATAAACAGAATTGTCTTGTTTTACACACCACCAAAACACTGCAAACCTTTTGTGAACATGAGAAGCAGCAACTTACCAGTGGTTTAGTGGTCAATTCTAAAGTATAGGCCACTCACATATTGGTAAGGACAGTGTAAAAATACAGGCAGCTATGTCAGTCCATATGGGGGGGGGAACCCACTTGTTAACCAACCACCAATAGCAATTCTTTTGTAAAGCTAAGGGATCTTTAATGCCCATTCAAGATGGGGCTGCTAGAAAATACTTTTCACCGATTAACTCGGAGTAATATTTAATTTTGCTCATCTTTTCTTCCTATTTGTTAAGTCGCAGGGAAAGCTTGCAGTGAACTGGGCCCTCATGGATATTCCAAGTCTCACCTACATTCTAAATAATAATATAATTACCGTATTTTTCTTTGTATAAGACTATACTTTTGTCTAAAATCTTTACACTAAAAATTGAGGGTCGTCTTATACATGGAAGTAAGCTGAGGAGAGAACAAAAAGTGGAGGGGAAAGCAGGGATCAAAGTGATCCTGCACGGGTTTGATCCCTGCTTTCCCCTCCACTTGCCACGGTTTTGATCCCTGCTTTCCCCTCCACTTGCTAAACCCCACTTAAATTTATTAATTTTGGGTTAGAAAAGTGGGGGGGGAACGGTCTTATACATGAGGGCGTCTTATACACGGACAAATATGGTACATAACTTAAAGCATGGTGCTACCTGTATATATTAAGCCACTATAACTTAAAACATGGTGCTACCTGTATATATTAAGCCACTGGCTCTTCTGCAGGGATATCCTGCCCTCTTTCCTCCACCTGGATAGTTCTGGCTGTGGGCCAGAG